TCCAGAATTATTTAACGAGCCCCCTTAAATTTGTTCCGGATGAAAAACGCGTAAAGTCAATGGATAAAAGCCTTCTTAGTGGTATAAAGATATCCAATATGGACTGTTAAATTTCTAATTCGAGAGCCCCTTACCACCTTTTATGAAATCAATAATTCCCGGACCCTTTAATCTCTAATTAATAAGAAGTGAATTGGGCTCCCTATTGAGGTTCCTTTTTGGGGAGGTTGGGCTAAAAGTGTTATCATAATTTCCTAGGCGTTTGAATTTTGTATTTAATCAAATGCAATTAATATTACTAATGCCTCGTAGAAAAGTATTCAAAAAAAATGTGTAATATTATCTTAAGTTCTAAATCTATAGTAAGCCCGATGAGGGTGCATGATGAATAATGGGATTGAGGGAACAATTGACTTTTCAGATTTGTGATTCAGAGTGATATTGATAGGAATTATCTTAAATGATATCATATTTTTTAAACATTCTCATAATAAATTATTTTAGTAATTCAGATTGTTCAACTGTTTTTGGTTTATTCCATGTATATAAATATATTTTTTTGTTCTTGAATTGGATTGAATATGCCTATATTTAAAATTCACTTCATTTTATTTTTTATACTTGATTCATTAATTCATATGTGCATTCATAGATTGATCAATCCAAATGCCTGTAATGCTATTGGTGAAATTAATAAAACAGTTATTGGAATACCAGCATATATGAAAAACCTACCATAAATATCCAATTTGGCAACTCCGATGTATGGTAAACATTCGTGTCTATGAACTTTTTTGTACCTTTTACGTAGCATTTTCTTACTTGGTCTGTCGTCTTGCACCCCTATTATTTTTTGTAAAGTTAAATAAACCAATGGTTTACCGATGACATATTTCCAAATTATAACGCAAGGAATACCTACTGCTAGTTTTAGTAAAATTGGTGTAATTCTTCCATCATTTTGACTCAATGCATCAATTGTATGGCTCAAATCGTATCTTTCGATAAACCAATTACTGAAATCCAATCCTGCCAAGACACCAATGAAGGCTACACTATCTTCAAAACATGGGCACTCATCAATTGGTTTTACATGGTTAAATAGCATGAAGAATCCCCAACAAACAGTAAATATTGGATACCATAAATAGTCCCCAGATTTAAAATTTTTGAAAATCCAAGGTATTCCAATTCTTCCCGCAAAACATAGGATACCAATTATAGCACCACTTATCAAATCTATTAAGCCATGCATGCCACAGTATAGCCTTCCGATAATCAAAGTAAAATCATAAGCAAATGTGAAGAATAGCAATACGCATTTCATTGTGAATGTCATATACCTGGCTTGATAGATCCTTAGTATTAGTAGTAACGTTACACCTGTTGCATTTGCTGTATGTGATGATGGAGCACCATATTCTTTTGAAGTGTAAGCGCTCAGTGTAATTCTGTGCAAAGGGGGGGACTTAGGTCTTGGTAAACACCAATAGTCCTTCAAGTAACCACTGATATAAATCGAATAACCTAATATATAGACTAAATCACGAATTAAACCATATTGGCCAATGAATGGAGGGATTGGTAAGAAAAGGACATAAAAAGTGTGCGAAGCTAATAAAGCGGTATAAGCAAAGAAGGTATCCAAGGATATAGTTCTGTGTTCTTTTTGCCATTCAGCTAAATAAATAGATTGGGTATCAGTAAATTTCAATAAATAATTTCTCATATTAAAACGTAAATCTGACATTTTATCTTTAAAATGGGAAGGGGGGTGATTACCTGGGTCATTTAAATAATATTCTTCTAAGAAATCATTTGCGTTAGAAATACCACCAGATCTTGAACCTGTCATGATTGTAAGTGTATGCGTATGTATGTACTTTTGTTTTAAAAAAAATATGAAATGAAATAAAATGGATCTACAGACAATGATATGTGAAGGAATATCAATTTCTTTTGAACAATTAAATAAGTGTTTGTTTCACGTAGTAGGAAACTGCAATTTCTCTTGATATACTTTATTACAAGCTGAAAAGATATCTTGATATGCCGTGAATATTGTCGAATTTACTCTATATAGCAGAAGTAATATATCTTTATAACAAATGGAAGTGAATTGAAACGATTGCAGTAAATTAGTGAAAAATTATTACTGAACCTTATTTTTTTTTTTAATTGAATAGTAAAAAAAATCAGTTAAAGATCAAATTATAAAAAATAAACCAAAATATACATTGAATTAACACTGTATATCTTTGAGAATTAACTAAATGCTAGCAATAACAACGACAAATACCACCTTACCATCCATCAATCCAGAATTAACAGTAACCTTTCAATTATTTAAATATTTATATATATATACCTGAACAATTATTGCAATTTGTAGATATTACATTTAAACCTTGTTAGCCATATATCGGGTACGTATAAATCTCACTGAGAGAGTAGAAATTTCTAATAATATTTAGCTCATACAAGATATTTATAGAGAGGGATAAGATGTGTCTACGGAGACGTGTGATGTGATATACATGCTGAGTTTTCGAAATTAAGTCAGTTCGGTCAGTTCGGTCAGTCAGATCAGACCAGAACAGACCAGTACAGCAAGCAAGCAAGCAAGAAAAGTGAAAGAAATATAACTTTACGATATTTTAAACTCAGGTACCAACAAAAGCTTTCAAAGTAGCGTTAGCAGTTCAGACTATTTGAAGTTGTCGTTGTTGTGGTCTTCGTAGTCGATGTTGTTAGTTTTGTGTGTATTGACCCCTTCATTCATCCCTACTGACAACATCTTACACTGAGAGAACCATTTCTATGATAATAACATGTTATTACATATAAATAATTTAATACAGCATGAATTGTATATTATGTATGGATTATGGGTTTATGCAAGTCCATACTGTACTTGTCTTACGGAATACAGCTAAGAATGTATATAGTCTACACTGACCCCCATCTCCCTCCCTCAATTCCCCCCTTTCATTGGGAACACATATCCATACATTGCTTTATATATAAGTAAAATAAATACATTGAGATGAAACCTTCAACTTTAGGCATCTGAAGTAAGTCCTATGTTAGTCATGTGTGTTGCCTTTAAATGGAAGGAGATGTTGTCGTTCTCTTGGGGGGGGGTCCAAGGAAGAGTACAGCAAACGGGAAGGGGGGTGGGATGGGACAATAAAATAAGAAATGACGTAAATTTTGTTTTTTCAGATTTTTTCGAAACGCATATTTTTTCTAAACTAAATTACCCTTTTGGGATATAAGCACTTTTTGATATATTTACCTATCTTTTCTTTTTCTTATAATTTTATTTATGTTCAAATTTAGAAAATAGATCACTCTTTTGGTTAATAGATACTGTATTGGATAATTATAAGTCAATTTTCAGTACGTTATAGGAAATACTTTACTCTCAAGAGACATTCTAATTATAATCCTTTCTTGTTACTTCTCTATCTCACTAGTCGTAAATTGGTTAAATATATTCTTTAATCCAGTCCGATCCCGTGCTGTCTCATCCTATCATATCTTTAAAATTCTCATTCTCAACTACATTTGTTCCCTCTATCCTATCTAATACAAGAAATATTAAATAAGTTATTGACCTTCTCGAATTGAAATTTGGACAATTAACGACATTTCAATATTGTTTGTTTGAACTTTAAAACCAAAAAGTTTTTGTTTCCATTGTCTTTCAGTTTAAATTATCATTTTATTGTGAAGATAAAGCCATCACTACATTGCCTTAAATTTATTTATACTGAAAATTGTCAATATATATTGCACATTACTATTCTAGCATTTTATAGCTATTTAACAGCAATTTTAACGAGTATTCGCTTGTGTGGGTTACTGCACTTTTCAGGTAGGAACATTCAGGAGTGTTAAGTTCAACTTTATTAAATTTTATTTTATTTTGTTTTGTTTCAGTATATCAGTATTACTATTTCAAAGTTAAATTTGGGTATGGCAGATATTGTAGCCAGTGATTGCAGTACTAGACAAGACATTTCTCCAACTGATGATAATAAGAATATTCTTGAGATTAAGAATGATGTTTTAGAAATATCGACTTCAGATGCTGCTAGAATGACTTCTTCAAGTGATAACGAAACGTATATTAGTGAAAAATTACTATTGCATAAGGAAAATACTAATTTGGCAAGATTTGACTTATCAATGACTGATATAATTAGTTACAATCAGCTCCAAAAATTACAATCGAATATAAATGATCGTATTAATGTGAAAATTGTGATAGTTGGTGATAAGAATGTAGGTAAAACCTCTTTACTTTTGACTTATTTGAATAACGGTAAATATCCGCAAGATAAAGAAGTACCCAATATTTTACAAGACTATAGAACCATTATTGATGGTCCAAATAATAAAAAATATGAACTTTCTCTTTGGGACGTTTCTGCAAATGAAGAAGATGAAAGATTGAGACCATTTTCCTATTCAGATGCTCAAATATGTTTTGCCTGTTATGCAATTGACGATCCTGCCTCATTAGTTAATCTTGAAAATACATGGGTCCCTGAAGTAAGGCATTTTAATCCTCGCACAAAGATCTTTTTAGTAGGTTTAAAAAGCGATCTGTATAATGATGATAATTTTGATACAGAAGATGATTTAATTGATTATGCTTATGCTAATTCAGTTTCAAAAAATTTGCATTTAAACGGTCATTTCCAAATATCGTCTCTGGCAAAATATAAAATCGATGAATTATTCGATAAATCAATGACTACTGTATTACATGAGACATTGGCGGAAAATCAAAATGCCACGCAAATATTAAAGGATGCGTTCAATATCAAATTACCAAAACCTGATAAAAATAGGAAAGAGTTAAAGAAATCTAAAAAGAAAAAATTCAAGTGTACTATTCTTTGAATAATCTGTAAATATAGAAGGTAAGAAAAAAAATTCATGCACTCATTCATACCCATAAAAATTATAATACATAATGTTATATGCAACGCAGTCTGGAACTGCTGTGCTTCATGTCATAATCATATATATATATATGATAACCGATTGATTGATTGATTATGCTCTAAAACAAGAAAATAATATTTTTATTTTATCTTGTACAGGTAAGAAGAACACTCAATTTTCACTCAGTTAAAACACAGATAATTAACATACATAATGATATTTAGTACCTATAAAAGGTTTATTTCATCAGAATATGTACTTTAGAAATGTAATTTTTGTATATTCTTCTGTCACTATATCATTTTACCGCAATTGTAGCTTAAAGTATATAAAATTGAGTCTTGGATGATTACAAGATCGATTGGTAAACTGCAGTAATTATCTTGTCCAGCGTAAGTGACTGAACTTCATATTTCGACTTAATAACACCCACACATATTTTAACCAGCATCCGTACATCCTGTTTTGTATGATTCTCTCATTTGAATTGAAATGAGAAACGAGAGAAAAGTAATCAAATTTGTATTTTTCGTTTTCGCTTTTTTATCTGCCCCGTCAAAATTTCCCCCATACAAAATTGACAAACTTTCAGAGATGTAAGCATTGAGGACGCAAAACAGGTTGGAAATTTTGAAATTTCCAAGTTATCTCTCATATGTTCAAGCTCATCGCTAATATTATTGATGTAGCGGTGCCAGTAGTAGAGTGAGTAAGAGACTAGGGTGTATACCAGCAGAAACTATCAATATAGGACTTTCAATGATTGATTGAATGTAGAGTTGAGCATACTATCTGGTTAATTATTATTATTATTCTTATCATCATTCTTATTCTTACTATTATTATTGACAATTCGCGGTAAGATAGCGTTAGTAGTGAGCAAGGTACTGCCTTATTTCAAATCATTAAGTCTATTAAATAACTTTAATATTTATATAGTATATAACGTGCTAATATTGTAATATTTAGAGAACCTATACATCATAAGCAACCAAGATAAATAAGTCAAAATGGAAAACGATAAAGGTCAATTAGTATGTTATCAAATAAAGATAAAGACAGGAAAAAAAATATCTTTAAACCTTACCTGAAGAGTCGATATAAGGCATAGTGAATATCTAGTATCCAAATAAGAGAAATCTGTTAAATTAAGTAATAGCTATGTCTAAGATGATGTTAATTTAATTTACGTTTTATGCAAACAAACATCGAAAAATCCTGGAGATTTAAGGGAAGATTTAAAGGATAGATAGTTTTTCCGTTGAAGAAACATTTTACTCTATTAACAATTTACTAACTGTAATACTATGATTAACTTCTGATGGATGTTTTCAATTTACATTCATTTCAATTGTTGATTTAATTATATATAAATAGGTTGAATTATATGTTCCAAGAAAGTGTTCTGCCACTAACACCATTATCAAGTCTAAGGACCACGCTTCTGTCCAAATCAACATCGCCAAGGTTGATGAAGAAGGTAGAGCTATTCCAGGTGAATACATCACATATGCTTTATCTGGTGATGTCAGAGCTAGAGGTGAAGCTGACGATGCTTTGAACCGTTTGGCTCAAAACGATGGTTTGATGAAGAACGTTTGGTCTTACTCTCGTTAAGAAATATCATCAAAATATATAAATAAGGATTACCATAATAAGATTATATTTTTGAAATATTTTATTTTACATAACAAATAATTTAAAAAACAAACATTTAAGTGTCATAAAGATATGATATCTATATATTATATGTGTTATTATTTTGTTTTATTCTTACTCCGTTGATTCTTAGGTTGACTAGGACATGTTTTTTTTATATCTTAGTATCGACATAACCACTATTGACCACATTGATTAATAGATGTGTATCATACATATATATTCAGCTAGCGTTGGTGTACTAATAGTGTAGCCAAAAGCCTTGTAAGACGTAACCATGACATCTAACATCCAATTCGCCTCACGTGACAAGCACATGACATCCAGTTTTCTCCATTACTTGGCAAATCAACAAGGGCAGAGGTGTCCTCAAAAAACGACATAACATGTTCCCGTGCACAACGACTGCAAATTTTACTTGACTCGATTCTTTTTCCACAAATTGATATCTAATTTTGGGCAAAGTGGAACAAAACTTACAAGAACAGCAAGAAAAAAAGAAACGAAAACAGCTGTCTACTAACTCAACACGGTTACCCTCCCTATCTGAACAGAGAACACACTGCACAGACACACAAAAACTAAAAAGAAAAAGAAAAAGAAAAGAAAAACCCAACGCTCCTTCGCCCTCTCGCCCTCTCGCCCTCTCTCTCTCGAACCAGACAAATTTCTCGCTGTGGTTGCTTTGTCCTTTTCCTCATCACCAAGACACACAGAGAAAAACCCACACAACTGCTCATCTTCCCATATTGAACTGAACAACTTCACCAAAACTGATTTTGATTGATGGCCTCAACTAACAGATGGAACTTTGATACCTTTCAATTCCCATTCATCTCTTAATTTTCAACTTCAATTTGCAGCTTAATTTTTTTTTTTGACCTGTGTCCAACCTCTTTTGCGATGCTTAGTTTGGCTTCTCTCTCGATAGATAACTTTTTTTCTTAAACAAAGATTTTATTCTTATTCTCACTTTAACTTTAATTCTTATTCTAATTCTTATTCTTATTCTTATTCTTGCTATTGCTATTGCTATAACTCATTTTAAATCTTGTGGTTGTTTCATTAATTGAATTTAATTCATTTAGTTCAGTTCATACACTTACTGTTAAGAGAAGAGAAAAAAAAATTTTTTTCGTATTGTTTCTTTCTGACTTTTAATCCTTTGAAAGTACAAGAAGGCTAATAGAACTTACCATCATAATATATACTTATATTACCTGTATATTTCAATATGTCTGCCGAAGGTGTTTCTGAAATCGAAGAATCTCAAATCCAAACCAACTATGACAAGGTCGTCTACAAGTTCGATGACATGAACTTGAAAGATGAACTATTGAAAGGTGTTTACGGTTACGGTTTTGAAGAACCATCTGCTATTCAACAACGTGCTATCTTGCCAATCGTTGAAGAACATGATGTCTTGGCTCAAGCTCAATCTGGTACCGGTAAGACTGGTACTTTCTCCATTGCTGCTTTGCAAAGAATCGACAGTTCTATTAAAGCTCCACAAGCTTTGATTTTGGCTCCAACCAGAGAATTGGCTTTACAAATCCAAAAGGTCGTCATCGCTTTGGCTTTCCACATGGATGTTAAAGTTCATGCTTGTATCGGTGGTACTTCTTTCGTCGAAGATACTGAAGGTTTGAAGGATGCTCAAATCGTCGTCGGTACCCCAGGTCGTGTCTCTGACAACATTCAAAGACACAGATTCAAGACCGACAACATCAAGATGTTCATCTTAGATGAAGCTGATGAAATGTTGTCTTCTGGTTTCAGAGAACAAATTTACCAAATCTTCACCATGTTGCCACCAACCACCCAAGTCGTCTTGTTGTCTGCTACTTTGCCAGGAGACGTTTTGGAAGTCACCACCAAGTTCATGAGAAACCCAATCAGAATCTTGGTTAAGAAGGATGAATTGACTTTGGAAGGTATCAAACAATTTTACATTAACGTCGAAGAAGAACAATACAAATTCGATTGTTTAAGTGATTTATACGATTCTATCTCCGTCACCCAAGCTGTTATCTTCTGTAACACCAGAAGAAAGGTCGAAGAATTAACTCAAAAATTGACTGAAAGCAACTTCACTGTTTCTTCCATCTACTCCGATTTACCACAACAAGAAAGAGATGTCATCATGAAGGAATTCAGAAGTGGTTCTTCAAGAATCTTGATCTCTACCGATTTGTTGGCTAGAGGTATCGATGTCCAACAAGTCTCCTTGGTTATCAACTACGACTTGCCAACTAACAAAGAAAACTATATTCACAGAATTGGTAGAGGTGGTCGTTTCGGTAGAAAGGGTGTTGCTATTAACTTCGTTACTAACGAAGATGTTGGTGCTATGAGAGAAATTGAAAAGTTCTACTCTACTCAAATTGAAGAATTACCAGCTGATGTCGCTGAAATGTTCACTTAAACAATTTGATACCTGGTAGAATATTATTACTTTGTACATTTTTTATTATCTTCAGTGTAAAGTTTAAATATATTTTTTTACTACTTTAAAGAGTTCGAAAATTAAATTTTTTTAAATTATTCACATCTTAATTATTTATATAGAAAAAAAATTCATACTTTCTTGTTAAATCATATATACATGATTTGTCCCACTATATCCTCCTGTTGCCCCATCATTTCCATCTTTTTTTACCTTACCTATATTCATCGATGACCTTGAGATGCTCTCTTTTTCAGATATCATATCAATCAAGCGAGTCTGGCAATGTTGAAATATTTTAAGCATTGAAAAAAAAATTTTCGAATTTTTGAAGTCATCGAGAGTTTTAATATGCACATAAAGTAGTGCTATAACCACAAGATAATCATTGGCAAGAAGATATGGCTTCTAAATTAAACTTAAATAAGGATCCATTGGTTGCTAAAGCTGTGACCTCTTTGGTAAACCATTGTGAAAATGATCCAAAATTGAAAAATGATAAAAATATTCATATTACTATCACGATGTCTAAAAAACCAGCAGTTTCTAAAGACCACACCCCTAGAATAATTCCCTTATCATGTTGCAAGCTAAATAAACCAAAGGAATTGAGAATTTTACTAATTACAAAGGATCCATCAACTTTTTATAAAGATATATTGACGAAAGATGAAGCTACTTCTGAATTATTCAAAGAAATAATAGGTTTGAAAAATCTAAAACGTCGTTTTAGAGGGTCTAAACTAAACCAACTTTATAAAGAATTTGACCTAATTGTAGCAGATTATAGGGTACATCACTTACTTCCTACTGTATTAGGCAGTAGATTCTACAATGGGAATAAAAAATTACCATTTGTAATTAAAATGTCAAGAAAAGAATTAGTTAGGCATCAAAAGACAGAAGAAGAATGTGATCCAATATACGTAAGAGCTCAGATCAGAAGTATCTGTAAAAACACTTCCTATGTTTTAAGCGGCGATGACACAATTGCTGTAAAAATTGGTGTACTACATAAGCATTCTATATCTGAAATGGTTGAAAATATTCAAGATATTGTAGATTTCCTCTCAGATAAAACTAAAAAACCTCAAGGAGGTATAATCAAAGGTGGTATTAAGAAAATATGGGTCAAAACGCCAAATAGTGATAGTTTGGCTATTTATGATTCTACAAATTAGACTAAACTATCATCAGTCACCAGTTCATCTCTGCATTATTGTTTTGTATTATATAAAATAAATGACTTTTTTAATTAAGAAATCACATTTAGAATTAGATAGAAATTACCATTTTATAAACTATTGTCATTACAACAAATCCCAATTACAATTAATTTAAAAGATTAAACAACATTATATAAATCAAGTCTAAACATTTGGTTTGTACGATACTTTTACTTAAACATGTAAATATTTACATCTATTAAAGCCTCCATTATAGAAAAACTTATTTAAGATGATGAAACCATCGAAATATCAACATCATTTAACTAAAAGAGTAAAATTAAAAAGACCAAGCTATTATAGATAAGGAAGTGATTAGAGGACAAATGTGTTGAGCAGATGTATAACTCATTATTTAAAATATACTTTGCAGTATTTTCAATAATTTTGTTATTTTATCTTTTAAATTCAAGACTTGAATTATCTGCTAAACTTCTTTGTAACCTTGATGATTATTGTAAGAAAGAGAAACAGTTGTTTCAAGTATCAAATAGTTTGAAGGATAAATATGATGAATTGAGGAAAGGTGATATATTTGAGCCTTTAAAGCTTTCTTCAAGCACTTACGATGATTTCATTTTAGATGATTCCAAGAAAAAACTCGAAAAGTCAACAATTCCAAAAGAAAATGCAACTTTATTGATGTTAGTTAGGAACTGGGAACTGGATGGTGCTTTAAAATCAATGAGATCGCTTGAAGATAGGTTTAATTGGAAGTATAATTATGATTGGGTATTTTTAAATGATTACCATTTCACACCAGAATTTAAAGAGGCGACAGAGGCAATGGCAAGTGGTAATGTATACTTCCATTGGATTTCCCCTGATGACTGGGATATGCCATCTTCGGTGAATGAAACACTATTTGAAGAACGGTTGGGTAAAATGGAGGAAGAGGGTGTACTTTATGGAGGTTCTAAATCTTACCGAAACATGTGTCGCTTTAACTCTGGATATTTCTTCCGACAAACAGTATTGAATAACTATGATTATTACTTTAGGGTAGAACCGAACGTTGAATATTACTGTGATTTCCCATATGACCCATTTAGAGTAATGAGAGAAAAGAAGAAGAAATATGGGTTTGTCATAAGTATGTATGAATTTCAAAATACAATACCCACATTGTGGGATACAGTTGAAGAATACATTACAAAAAATGAAAAAGATATAGATATGTCAAGAAATTCCTATGATTTTATAACAGATTCTGATCCAATTGGACTTTATAATCCATATTACGTTTCTGATAGTGCATACAATTTGTGTCATTTTTGGTCAAATTTTGAAATTGGTGACTTAAATTTCTTTAGAAGTGAAAAATACATGAATTACTTTAAACATCTTGATGACTCTGGTGGGTTTTATTATGAACGCTGGGGTGATGCCCCAGTCCATACAATTGCAGCATCATTACTTCTGGATAAAAATGAGATAATTCATTTTGACGAATTGGGATATGGGCATAACCCATTCTATTCATGTCCAACAGCATATTATTTTCGCTTAGTTCATGGTTGCTTATGTGACCCTAACGGTGTCAATAGCATTACCACCAACCCTAATAGTTGTTTAATGAGGTGGTGGAAAAATGGAAGTGGTAAATATTTTATCCAGGAATTAAAAAAATAAACCATATCCTAAAATTTGTTTGTATCATTAACAATCACCAAAATCTTACATAGCATTAAAGAGTAATAACGGATGGAAGATTTTACATATTTAATGACTAATGATATATTACATTTGTATCTATTAAGACTATTTATTAAAACTAGTATAAGGTTTCTAAATTTGATAATTCCTTTAATATTCTTTCCAATTCATCATCTGAAATCTTGTTATTTAAACTTGGTATTAAAGTTTTGGCTTCATCTGCGGTGTCACAGGCCAATGAACCTAATTGAGCAATTTCAAAAGGATGTAAACCAGTACTTTTCAATAATTGAATGACTGCACCAACAGTTTCTTGGTCTCTAAATCTTGAAAAATTTGTCAAATATTCCATAGTATTTTTCAAATCTTTATTATTACCTGTAGTAGTCTGTTCTAATAAAGAATCCAAAGATTCCAATTCCTTTTCACGAGTTTCTGCTTGCATAAATTCGTTATCTTCTTCATCGTGATCATTATTGTCGTTTTCATTATTATCATTTGACGATCCTGTGGAATTGCTAGGATCATTTTTATTTTTGGAATCATTACCTGTATTTTTACGTTGAGATCTTTTTAAAGCTCTTTTACGTTCTATCAAAGCTTCTTTGATCAATAGACGAGCTTCACTTAGGTTCAATGCGATAAGTTCTTCTTCTTCACCTTGATGATTTATCTGTTTTACTTGAAATTCCTGTCCTAATTGCAAAGTAGCTGCATTTTCTTCTTCTTCGACGTTCTTTAATCTTCTTCTTCTTGATTGGAAAGTGGAAGTAGAGACATTCATTCTGAAGTGCTATTTTATTGTGATATTATAGTGTAGTATGTATGATAAACTTTCTGTATTGCTGTTGTAAATAGGTTGACCCACAAATAAGTATTAAGTTGTGACCTTAGGTGTGTATATGCTGGAAAAGAAAGTTGAAAAAATATGAAATTAAACCAAGAGATGGGATTGGAAGTGAAATATTAAAATAGAATTGATGTATGGATGGTTGAGTATAACTGTTTGTAATAGAGCTGAATGCTAAATGGAAAGTTTCTTCGTTCGAATAAGTAAATTAACTTATAAAATTCGAGTACAAATCAGCGTAGAATATCAGAATTCAATCACAGAATGCTATGATACTCCCGGGTAGTGCAATTGACGAATTGTAAAGGTATATTAACCAGCGTTTCTAATTTAAGTAGACCGAAGGATATCAAGGACACGATCTAAGATCTCTTCAAGTCTTGAGTACAATGGTTTATTTCAAGTCTAAATTTCAAATTTCAATTCTAATAATAATAATTCGATGAAATTTTCCAATATTGCCAAGATACCAAAGAGGATTAGAACATGTGATCATTGGATACGTAGTGTGTATGTGTGAAGACAAGAGACATACAGGCATTAAAACGTATATGATGGACTGATCAAGAACAACGTCAGTAATGTTGTAGAATTAAAAGATATGTTATATTCTGTACAACACTGGTCATTGTGATGCAGTGTAGTATGGTCTAATGAATCTTATATATTAGTCGATGACAACATTTAATTAAGAAACATAGTGCTTTTGTAAGTATCTCTTGGATGGGGGGATACCCCATCGTAACTGTATCCCCATAACTCATAACCCATAACCCATAACATGCACACACACATATATAGTGAATATATAGAACTATATTTACATTTTGTATGGCTTCAAGTGAGGGAAGAACTAGCAAGTTTGTTGAAGTGAAGTGAATTGAATGGGAGGATGAGAGTGGGCATTACCCGGCTGGGTGTTGGGGAAAGTAGACATGTGATCACGTGATGTGTGAGTAAACGACCATCCGTACACGCACACACACACACAGAAGCTGCTCTTGTTGTTGTGTTTGTGTCTCTTCTTCTTCATGATTTTGTGCTTCCCGACAGACACGGCACAGAAACGTACACCATCAGAGAAGTTTGGTTTGTTTTTTGTGGCCTCTATGTATTGGGGGGAGGCGAGTTCCCCTCTGGTCAGGTGACCACGTCCGTTTACGGAAATCTTGGTTTCGGGAGAGGAGGAGAAGAGAGGGAACAAATTGGGTTTTTCCGCCTATAAATGGGCGGCTAAATACAGAAATATAGAAATATAGAAATATAGAAATATAAATAGATATAGAAACAAGGATTAGGAATTTTTACTCCATTTACATTATTGTTAAAGGCAAAAACAACTAATGGGACGGCGTTTGCAAAATGTTATTTTGGAAAATTTGGGTTTCCCACCCACCCCATCACACTCTGGATTATAAAAATAATCTATATTTATCTTTCGCAAAATGTTGCATTTAATCAACATCTAATGCCATCCATGTCTCTCTCCCTCTCTCTCTCTCTCTTCTGTCCATCCAAAGACAAATTGTTTAGATTTAAACAACAGGGCTCTCATAACCTTAATAGCAGGATTGCTGGGGTTACAAAAGATATACCTTAAGATAAACTGTTCATCGCTGTGCTCTGCTGTGTTCGTTGTTTGTTTGTCTGTTTGTCTATAATAAAAACAATCCCAGATTGCCTGCTATGGAAAGATATTGCATACGTGGAAAGTCAAACGATGTCGGTTGACAGATAAGCTGAACCCTCCAATTAACTTTTCTAGTTTTGTGGGATTACTGAGTTTTACTTCTAATTATACTGCTTATTACAAAAAGTGATGGCCTGAACAACAGGCAGAAACGCAAACAGATAAGGCAAGTTATTACTAAAGATATCTAAAATGATATGCACTTTATTGTTTCTGATTGGTAGAGATAAGGTTAAAGGGGGGGCATGGGGGGAAGACACCATTAAATTAGGAAAATGTTATGTCCCTTGACAGAAAAAATAATATTGATTATATTTCTGATCCAACGATAAGAATCGCACTCTCTTCAGCAAGACGGCACAAACATCGACATCAACATTTTTTGTATTACTGCTGCACTCTAATTTGATACTTATTGACACATTGCCAGATCAGTTCTTTTCAAGATGAAATCATAAGCATCCAAAATAATAAGATTTTGTGATTAATTTGGTTCGTTAAAATCGTACATTTACATACAAACATGGAAAGGTATCAAATTGAATTTACGTTTTTGGATTTATCCCCCTCGTTGTTATTTACAATTTTATTCACTTAGAAATCAATATTTGCTACCTCTTTGATCCAGACTACTCTTATATCCCTCTCCAATGTATATCTCTTCCCTCCCCCCTCTCCCTGCAAAGCATCCTCAAAATAAACCAAACTGAAAAATATGGCATTACAACTACTTCTCTCTCCCTGCAA